CTCTTACTCTTTTTGACGCTCTCCTTGGGTTTTAGGTTTCTCTTCCTCTTGCATGTCTTTTGATTCAGTAAACAACCTCCCTATTTTTCCCTCCTTCGTTTCTTTCAACATGAAGCTCATATCACTGTAATACTCCCCAGGTGAAGCTAAGAAACACCTGGCTTGTCAAAGGCCAACTGATTATAGCTCTAGTCCAAAGATCTCTGCGTTTACTTTTTAAAAAAGTTATGTGTCAAAATTCTCATAATTATAGGTAATTTCCACCCTCTTTTCAGACAATTTTATTCCCTACTATAATATTTTACTCTATACTATACTCAGTCAGAGTTATGTCCATGCAGGACTATATAATGTTTGATCATTTCAGTTGTGTCTGACTCTTTGCAGCCCCATTTGGGGTTTTCTTGGCAAGGATACTGGAATGGTTTGCCATTTCTGTTCCCAGCTCATTTTACAGATGAGGAACTGAGGCAAACAAATCCTGTGCCCAGGATCACACAGCTAGTAAACTGTCTCAGGCCAAATTTGAACTCAGGTCTTTCTGACTCCACACCTAGAACTTGATCCACTGCACCACCTAGTTGCTCTAAACCACTTTATGTAGGATAATAATTATAATAATAACTATCATTTACATAGTACCAGCTGCCCTAGTACTATTATATACAGAACTTATATACAGAACTTAAAAAGAAAAGCAAAATATTTTATCAAAGAGGTATATCACTAGAGCATAAAAATTCATTACTAGAAAGACAGTACACAAAGTGAAAACTATTAAATGAAGATGTCTCATCCTGCATGACCTGCCTCCCCTCTTCCAACCTCCCTACTAGTTTTACACTTGTCTTAAAATCTTTAGCTGCTGGGAAGTTAGCTAATAATCAGTCAACAAAAATTGAGCACCTGGTGAATGAATCACAAAAATTCAATTTAAAGCATGTTCATTAAGTACCTACTATGTACAAAGGATCAGATACAAAGATAAAAATGAAAAACTGACCTGACCCTTGAGAAATCTGCATGACAATATGGGATACAACATGTACACAGATAAAGAAATACAAGATAATTTGAGGAGGAAAAGGGCATTAATAACTAAGAAGATTATCAAGGGTTCTTAACCCTTTTTGTGTCATGGATCCCTTCTCATAATGCTTTTAAATGCATAGAATTATGAAGGAAAGCAATTATATTGAAAATTACCAAAAAGCATTTTTTAAAAAAATTCACAGACCCCAGTTTAAAAACTGTTGCTGTAGAATATCTTGCTTGGTGAACACATCAGCTCCCAAGGTTTCCATTATCAACTCTATGCTGCCAATTCCAAGATCTAAATCTCCAGTCCTTACTGCTCTTCATCAATGGCTACCACCATAGTGCAAATTTTACCACATATCCGGGAAAAAACATACGTACACACACACATATATATATATATATTTGTATGTATACACACAGTGATAAACAGTAATAAATTGGTGTCCTTGCCTCAAATCTCTAAATATAAAATGCTCTATTTGTCATTTAAAGTCTTTTACCACCTGGCCCAGTCTTCTGAGACTATAAAATCCAGCAACACCTGCCTTCTTGCTGTACCTCACACACTATACTCCATTTCCTGTCTCTTGATTTTGTGCATTTTCACTGGCTATTAACCATGCCTGGAGTATTCTTCCTCTTTATAGTCAGCTACTGACTTCACAACTCAGCTCAAGTCCCACCTTCTGCAGAAGGCCTTTTCTGGTCCTTCCACTGTGTCCTCTGATGCCTTCCCTCGGAGATAACCCATCTGCTCTGTATATTTTCTTTTATGTTCATAGTTTTTGGTATGCTGTCTCCCTCATTAGAACGTGAACTTGAGGGTAGGCATCATGTTTTTTGCCTTTGTGTGAATCCCCGGCACTTAGTAACAGTGACTAGCACAGAGTATAAGCCTAATAAATGCTTGCCCGCTATTGATTAACTCTGCTTTTAATCTGGTCATCATTCCTATTTCTTCCTCCTCTTTCTCCTCCCTCTCTCACAATGAAGGAGTCAGCCAATAGGATGCCAGGCTCTGTTAGGTGTGTTTTAGATTTATTTTGATAGGAACAAGGCTTTCATGCTATTTCTAGGTCATCTTCACACCACACTCCTATCCCTTTAGGTACTACCTTCCCCTATTAGAAAGGGAGTTCTTTGAAAGCAGGAAATGTGTCTCGCTTGCTTATATTCGTATCTCCAACTCTTAGTACAGTGTCTGGCACATAGTGCTATTAAATACTTAATATTCTCTCTTCCTTTTCAAACTGTCATTCAGTTCCCCTTTGAACAGTTCCAGGAACAATCACTGGTTTATGTAGTTTCATTTGCTCCTCAGAGCAAATGTATGAGGTAGATACTACAGGTATTATTATCTCCATTTCACAGAGGACAAAACTGAAGCTCATGAAGTCAGTAAACATAAAGGATGAGACGAACTCAGGCCTATCTTGCTTCACACTACTTCATAATAATTGATTGTCTAATGCTTTAAGGTCTGAGTTTTCCTCACAACAACCATTTGAGTTAGGTGTGCAACTATATACCTATTTTACAGAGGAGGGTCTGAGATAGGGCTTTCCTATAGTTACGAAGAGAGTAAGCTCCTGAAAAAAAAGACTTGCACAGCCCAGAATGTTATTCATACTATGCTTTCCACATCATTGGTAGGATCACAGACAGATCGTAGATTTAAGTTAAACCGGCATATTTCACATATGAGAACAGGGAGGCAGAGTGACTTGTGTACACACACACACACACACAAACAAAATAAGTAGCAGAGGCAGGATTGAACCCCAGCCCTCTGACTCAAAATCTGGCACTCTCTCCCATTGTACTACACTGAATATTACTGTATATCATACAGAATCCTTCAATTAGCTCCCAAGGAAATGAATGGAATTCTCTAAATAATCAGACAGACCACTCTCCAAATCTAATACTTGAAACAAAACCTGATCTGTATGCAATTAAAATTTTAGACAATAATAAAATTAACAACTTTAAAGCTCAGTTGTCCAAGTAGACTTTCCTGAAAGTGTAAGAAAATTTGCTGTGCTTTCTCAATTTTGTTTCCACAAAATATTTTTTTGATCCTGAGGTAGATAGTGCAGGTATTATTACCTTCATTTGACAGATGAGGAAACCCAAAGAGGTTAAATGCTTATCCAGTGAATAAACATCAAATCAAGCACTCATTAAATGTCCTTTTGTGCCAGGCAAGGTGTTAGACAGGGGATATTTGTTGCCTCCCCCAATAGATTCTGAGCTCAGGGAGGGCAGGGCTAATCTTTTGCCCCATCACTTAGTTGGTACTTAAGTTCTTACAAATTGGTAGACTGAGATCTACAGGTACTCAACTACAGGTGGAGACAACAAGCAAACAACTTCTGTAGATGCAATATTAAGTGCAAGAACAATTGGAGATCAGCACTAGTATTAAGTGGACCAGGAAAGGCTGATTCATCAGGTAAAGAGATTTGAACTCTACACCTGGGGGTCATAGTAGCAATTTGTGTTTAAGAAGTTCGAAGCTATAAAGGTCTGTGTCGGGGATGGGAACCTGTGGCCTCGAGGCCACGTGTGGCCCTCTAGGTTCTCAAGTGCGGCCCTCTGACCGAATCCAAACCTCACAGAACAAATTCCTTTTCAAAGGGCCGCACTTGAGAACCTAGAGGGCCACACGAAGCCTCAGGTTCCCTACCGCCAATGCAGACCCTTATAGCTCAGAACATATTAAACCCAAAATGCTAATATGGCTCAAACTTTCCAAAAATCTACCATGGCCTCTGACGATGTATTTCTTTATGAAAGGGAGTTAGGCAGTGAGTTCCTGGGGAGTGGGTTTCTTCGTATCCCCAGCGCTGAAAGTGCTCGGCACACAGTAGGCGCTTAATGGACAGTCAACCCGAACCCGCGTTCAAGGCCTTGGCCGCAGGTAGCAGAATTCCCTAAATCTCTCTGTGCCTCAATTACTCAGGTAATTATAATTTGGGTATTTCCAGAGGAGCTGCTCGGCAAAGGTGCAGACCACAGGAAGAGGAAAACCATTTACTCCCAAACCTCCGGCCGACAAGCCGGGTGCGCTCCTCCCCGCCCCCAAGCCTGCTGTCGTTGGGTGCCCTGTCACGTGCTTGTCTCACCGTAACCGTCCTCGTGGCAGCGCCTCCAGGGTCCCCCGCGCGGGCAGCAGGTGGAGGGCTGCCACTCTTAGCGACGGCCCGAAAGCTGCCCCGCGTCGGCAGCCCAAGGGCCAGGTCCCACGGAGGGGAGGCCCCCCAGGGCCGGCTCCCCGCCCCCCCCCGGCAGGGCTGGGCGGCCGCGCGCAGCTGCCTCCGCCTCCGCCTCCCCCGCCGGGGGTGGGCGGCCTCTTACCGGCGAAGCGGATCTTCACCAGGTCCAGAGGATGCAGGGCCAGGTTGGAGAGGACGCCGCCGCTCACGCCGGCCACCAGGTTCTCGTACCGCACATGACGGAACACTGTATATACAGGCGAGGACCCCGCCGTCGACTGGCCCTGGGCCGTCATGATGTCGGGAGCCGCGGACACCACGGCGCCCAGGGCCGCAGAACTGGGACGAGATGTCGTCGCCGCCACTGTAGCGGCTATCGCCGCCTGGATCGGCAGAACAGCGCGGGCCACGAGCTGGGGTCGGCGCGACCTGCGCGCGGGCAAAAGACAGCTCGAGGGGCGGGGGGCGTGGCAGGGGCGAGGGGAAGGAGGCGCGGCGGAAGCCGCCGAGCGAGCGTGCTTGCAGGGTGGCGCGAGGTGGCAGAAGGCGCATGTCACGCAGCCGCGGTAGGGGTGCTCCCATCAAGCGATCAGACCCGCCTCCTTCCAAATCCCCGCCTCCTCTATCCGAAGGGAAGAAACTGCAAACTGCCGGGTCGTGGGCGGGGCCTGGGGGGAGGGGAGGAACGGGACGGGAAAATGATTGAAAGACAGCTTCCGCCCGGCTTCGCTCACGTGAGCGGAAGTAGCGGCGACGATCCAAGGGGAAGGCGGAAGTCGCGTGTACCGGAGAATTTGGTGGTGGGAGTGGGACGCAGTCGGAAAGATGAAGGTGAAAATGTTGAGCCGGAACCCGGACCATTATGTCCGGGAAACCAAGCTGGACCTGCAGAGAGGTGAGCGGGCTGTCGGCATTGGGAGAGGTGGGACCGAACAGCCCCCGCGACCGCCTCTCACGTGGAGCCCGGTCGGTGCCCTCGGAGTGAGGGCGGAGGAGGGTTGGCAGGGCCAGAGCGACCACAAGTGAGGTGACTCGAGCCGGCTCTTATTCTTACCCTCCGTTACCGCGTTTTTCGCACGGGTTTGTTGTCCCGAGTGGTAGGACATATGAGGTGCTCTCTGAAGCGTCCGTGGTTCCACACCTCGGTGCGGGGAGGGCCCCACTCTTCCTGTGGAGGGAGGACTCTTAAAGTTCACAAATTACTTTCAGCAGCTTGCTGAAGAAGGTAGTGCACATGTTAAATCAGAAGCTCAGAACGTTGGAGTTGAAATAATAGCATTTATATAAAGCTTTAAGGTTTGCTGAGGGCTTTACAAATATCTCATTTGATTGTTACAACCACCCTGGGAGGTGGGTTTTCCTCATTTTACAGGTGAAGAAACTAAGGCAGAAAGAGGTTAAGTGACATGTCCAGGGCCAAAAAAAAAAAGCCATTGAATGACTGAGGCTGGATTTGAACTCGGGTCTTCCTGACTCCAAGTCCAACATAGATGACTTCACCAACTGCCATCTAATATAGCCTCTTCATTTTTCCGATGAAGAAACTGAGGTCCCTTTGTTCCCGTTTGTTCAGCAAACCTATTAAGATCCTGCTATGTGCTAGGGACAGTGCCAGGCCCTTGGGGCATACCAAGACAAAAATAAAACTGTCCCTGCCCTCAGGGTACTTACGGTTTATACCCAGAGAAAGGAATAGTCCAAGACAACAGGACTAGTAATGGCTGAGCTCAGGCTTCAACACTGGGTGTTCAGACTTAATATCCTGTACTGAGTCGTGGGAAATTGTCATCATGCCTGCTGTGCCTGATTGTCCTCAGTTGAAGTTGAAGACCTAACCATTTAGATGGTTGAGGAATGGAACAGTACCTAACAGTTAAAGTAGTTTATTCTAGAGACATTCTGGAGACCCATCCAATTTCAGAATTGCACAGGCTTACCTACTTAATCCTTTCTTTCTCTTCTGCCTCGATTCCTAAGCCATCTATTTTGCTGACCAGTCCATTTTTCTGTCAGCTCAGGTGACAGTGTGGTGGGAAGAGTTTGAAACTAATGTTTAAAATTCACACTGTGCCCTTCATTTATCCACATTTTTCTCTGCTCTTACTGACAGATATTTTTGAGAATTGCAAACTTTATGAAAATAGGATTAGAAGGCTGCATCAAATCAACAAGTGTTAAAGCCTAAGGACTTACTAAGTATGTTGTGTACAACAGTCTTGCAGAGGATGTTCACTCTCCTGGAATACTTCTCTTTTTCACTTGTGCCTTGTTAAAAAAACATTTGTTGTTGTGGTCATGTCTATCTCTTTGGGATTTATAATATATACAGAATATATAAATAATATATACAGAGTATATACAATTAACAAAATACAAAGTTGAGTTATTTCACATACCTTTATGAAACATTTCAGTTTAACAGTAAATTCCTTGAGGGCAAATAGCACTTTCAGTTTTGCCCACAGCATTTATCATAGTGTTGGGCGTATAGTAGACCCCTAAGAAGAATTTTTTGAAAAGTAAATGAGTGAATGGGGAACATTGCAGTAAATAGTAGATGAAAATTTCTCTATAAAAGAATATAATGGGCTATTAATGGTCATTCTTATTTCAGTTCCAAGAAACTATGATCCTGCATTGCATCCTTTTGAAGTTCCACGAGAATACACAAGAGCTCTAAATGCTGTCAAACTGGAACGAGTATTTGCAAAACCATTCCTTACTTCCCTAGATGGCCATAGAGATGGAGTAAATTGCATGGCAAAACATCCAAAGAGCTTGTCTACTGTGCTTTCTGGAGCCTGTGATGGAGAGGCAAGTGTGCCTTTGAAAATTAATAAAAAATATTATTCTAAAAATTGTTCTTTAAAAGTTCCTGTTTGTCACAAGCTATGCTCTTTTGTTCGTAATTTTTTTATAATTTATGTTTTTTATATAATTTAATGTTTTTAATACCCTATTTTAGTAATCGTCAAGGTGTAGTTCAGTTTCTGAGAATGAATCTAGTATCTCTTCTGTTAAACTATGAAAAAGTTGCAAATACAATTTGCAAGCCCTTCCAGATACACAATTTAGCAGTTGACAATAAAGTGGTAAGTGACACTTACAATACGGCTACTTAAGTATTATGATAGAAGACATAATTTATTTTTATTTTATTTTATTTTTAATTTTTTTTGGCAAGGCAGTGGGGTTAAGTGACTTGCCCAGAGTCACACGGTTAGTGTTATATGTCTGAGGCTGGATTTGAACTCAGGTCCTACTGAATCCAGGGCCGGTGCTCTATCCACGGCGCATAATTTATTTTTATGTCATTGCTATCTGTAGTAAGGAAAATGCCTTGAAGTGCTGTAAACAACAAACTATTTAATAAACTGAATCTTTTCTGCTTGACTTATAACATGCTTTATATTTCGTTGATTCTCTCTAAAGGGCTTTATTTCTACAGATTTAATAGTGACACATTCCACTTGCAATTGACTTTACTTTTTCCTGGAATGTGGTCCTTCTTTGCCTGAACGTTTCTTATTTAATAGAAATGTCCTGATGTGGTTTCTCATAGGTTAGAATTTGGAACTTGACTAAACGAGAATGTATCCGTACACTGCAAGCACATGAAGGTTTTGTACGAGGAATGTGTGCCCATTTCTGTGGAACTTCTTTCTTTACGGTAAGGTACTAATGCTTTTTCACCTGTGTTCTGTGGCACACCAGTGTGGAACTGACTAAGATGGATGAGTGTTCTTAGCCAGTGTTTCTTTTTAATGGTGCTAAGAATAATTTAGTCTTTATTAGAGTTTTCAAAAAATGAAAACAATAAGTATGCTAAAATTCAGGAGAAAAAGCATATATAAGTGATAGGTAATCATTTTTGTGGCTGTTTCTTAGAAAAGAAAAGAATGCTAGGGAGAAAAACTGAAAAAATATAAATAATTTATAACATGATTTCTCCTTATTCGTTATCAGCTGAGAGAATTCATGTCTCTTATAAGACATTTTTCATTAGGGCTGACAGTAATATCTTCCCTGTTTACCAGGGCTTTGGGGCTTGAAAACACTGAAAACTATAAAGCATAGTAGCAGCAGCAGCCTGATGTAGTACACCATGCAGGAACAGAAAAGCTGTCTGTTTTAAGATGGAGGCAACCTAAATCTCAACAGTAGGGTGATGGCGAAATAACTTGTGGGATGTTATTATAGTGGAATACTATGATGCAATTAAGATGAAGTGTGTGCATGTGAAAAAAATCTGTAAACATATTTAGGAAAGAATGCAAATTGAAAACCAAAACCAGAAGAGCAGAGTGTGTACTGATTTTAATCATATAAGGGGAAAAGTGAATTGCTTTTTGTGGATTTCAAGACACATTTACAGGGCATGTTTTTATCTTCTAGAGATATAGCTGGATAGATAGTTACAAACAAATAAAAGCAAACAAGATATTCCCTACCCTCAAAGAGCTTATATTCTAATAGGGAAGGTAACATATAAAGAGGAGCCGAGGGTAGAGGTAGGGAGGGAGGAAGGAGAGGGAGTTAAGCTAGGAATAAAGTGATTTGTGACTGGGGCCCTGATGAAATGATGGTCTGGGTTAGGGATTCATCTTCTATATGCCAGGGACTCTGCTAAGAGCTGGGGGGCGGATATAAAGACAGAAATGAAATGGTTCCTGCTCCCTAGAAGCTTGCTTTCTTTCTGGGCAAAATAGTATTTACAAAGGAATTCCCAGCAAGGGAAAATGTTTACCTTTATGGATTTCAAGATACACTGTATAAGCTGCTATTCTCTGAGCATAATTTTAATAGCTATTGATAGCTTACATATAGCACTTTAAGGTTTGCAAATCACTTTCACAACAATCCTTTGAGGCAGGTTTTGCAAGTACCCTCTTCATTTCAACAGATTCTAAGAAGTTGTGACTGACCCAGGGTCACAAAGCTACTAAACATCTGGGATGAGATTCAAACTCAGGTTTCTTAGCTCCAAGTCCCTCACTTTATCAACCTTGACATGCTTTAGACATTCTAAATTTGGGCTTAATTTGTATTGTTTATTCTATTCTTCTACTTTGCTGTAAAGAAGAGTCTTGTGTACTCTGATGTCCCAGGATCAGGAGAGATCTGGGGGGTATAGAAATCTAGGTACTTTGTAATTCCTATTACATAGGCTATCCTATTAGGTCTGCTTTGTCCCTCTTCACCCCAACCTGCTTGATCTTTGTTCTCCTCCTTCATGCAACTTCCTTAGCTGCTGTAGGTCTGAGCTCCTTTCTGCCTACTTTTAGCCTTCAAGGTTCTACTATTGTTACTTAATGTACATTAGTTCCTCCAGAAAAATTCAGTGCAAGTTTCCAGGGAGTCTTAATTTACTCCAAGAAGGGAGATGCACAGAGTTGATGCTGAATGTTAGAAACTCTCCCCTATATCTTTTTCTTCTTCAAACCCGTCATTTCATGAGGATAGGGAACCCCTGGTGTTAAAACGAACTCTTCCAGTGCATATCAACAATTTCTATCTATGTAACTTAGAAAACCTTAGAAAGGTATTGAGAGAGCAGACCTTAAGTAACATGTCTGTGGCCACACAGCTAGCATGTGTCTAGTAAGACTTGAACAACAGGTCGACCCAGCTCCCAAGTCAGCCTTCTGTTCACTATGTCAAACTACCTTTCTGGAGAGTAGCTTGAAAGAGGTTGCAGTTAAAATTGAGACACATGCTATATTTTTAAAATTGAAGTTACGAATAGTTTGAAATGCATCAAGTCTTTATAACTTAGACTCCTCTAAATCATTTATAGGTTGGTGATGACAAGACCGTGAAACAGTGGAAAATGGATGGACCAGAATATGGAGAAGAGGAGGAGCCTTTACATACAATATTAGGAAAGGTACCAAAATAAATCTGTCAGTTTCATTTATTAAAATTTTTACTGTTTCATATTTTAGTTCACACTAGAAAAACCAGGTGCATCGATTGACAAAAAATACTAGAATTTTGCTTTGAAATAAAAATTTTCATCGTAGCTCTATTTTCTTTGCTTTATGAATGAAGAAAATATGTACTGTGCCAGTTGACATAGCTTGATTCTTCCAAGTGTTAAATGTCATAACACATACCACTAAAATCAGTGTTGTTTTTTTTTAAATTATAATATTGGAATGGATCTTTATTTTTTTTTATTAATTTATTTTAATTTATCAACAATCACTTCCATAAGCTTTTGAGTTTTAAATTTTTCTCCCCCTCCCTCCCTTCCCAAGACAGCACACAATCTAATATAGGCTATCCATATACATTCCTATTAAATATATTTTTCACATTAGTGATGTTGTAAGTAAGAATTAGAATTAATAGGAGGAACCACCAGAAAGAGGAAACAAAACACAACAGAAGAAAAAGAAATAGCAAATAGTATGCTTCGATCTGTATTCAAACTCCATAATTCTTTCTTTGGATGTGGATAGCATTTTTCATCATGAGGCTTTTGGAGGTGTCTTAGATCCTTGTATGGCTGAAGGGGTTAAGTCTATCAAAGTCAGTCATCACTCAATGTGGCTGTTACTGTGTAGAACAGTCTCCTGTTTCTGCTCACTTCATTCAGCATCAAACCATACAAGTCTTTCCAGGTTTATCTGAAGTCTGCCTGTTCATCATTTCTTATAGCACCACAGTATTCCATTACATTCATATATCACATTCACAATTATGATTACTATGTGTGTCTTTCTCTCCATCCTTTCCCCCTGTTTATGCTTTTCTTTCTCCTCTTTTTCCTTCCTTGCTAATGTTTTACTTTTGACCACCACCTCCCTCAGTCCCACCTCCCTTCTATTAGCCCCCTCCCTTTTCTTTCGCCTTTTGCCTCCTACTGCCTGTAGGGCATGTTAGATTTCTATACCTAATTGATTGTTTTATTTCCTTCTTGAGCCAAATTTGATGAGAGTAGGGTTCAGACAATGCTCATCTCCCTCCCTTCTTTCCCTCTGCTGTAATAGGTTTTTGTGCCTTTTTCTGTGTAATTTACCCTTGTCTGCCTCCTCCTTTCCTTTTCTCTCAGTACATTTTCTTAGTTAGATCAGATTAATTCACTTACTTGGATCCATTTAACCCACTTGATTAGATTTTTTTCATCATTACATCAAAGTCAATTTATACCCACCCCCTTTATGTATACCCCTTTAACATGGTGTAATAACAATACAGTTCTCAAGAGTTACAAGTGTCATCTTCCCTTGTAGGGATGTAAACAGTTTGCCCTTATTAATAACATGTTGTTTCTTTCTGTCCCTTTTACCTTTTTATGTCTCTCTAGTCTTGTATTTGAAGATCAGATTTTCTGTTGAGCTCTGGTCTTTTCATTAGGAAGGTATGAAAGCCCCCTTTTTCATTGAATATCCATCTCCTCCCCTGAAAGATCATGCTCATTTTTGCTGGGTAGTTGATCCTTGGTTGTAATCCAAGCTCCTTTGCCTTACAGAATATCATATTCCATGCCCTACAGTCTTTTAATGTAGAAGCTGCAAGGTCCTGTGTAATCCTGACTGTGGTTCCATGATATTTAAATTGTTTCTTTCTGGCTGCTTGCAGTATTTTCTCTTTGACCTGGTAATTTTGGAATTTGGCTACTATATTCCTTGGTGTTTTCAATTTGGGATCTCTTTCAGGAGGTGATCAGTGGATTCTTTTATGGCTATTTTACCCTCTGTTTCTAGGACCTCAGGGCAGTTTTCCTTTATGATTTCCTGAAAGATACTGTCCAGGCTCTTTTTTTCATCATGATTTTCAGGTAGACCAATAATTTTTAAATTGTCTCTCCTGGATCTGTTTTCCAGGTCAGTTGTTTTACCAATGAGGTATTTTACATTTTCATCTATTTTTTCATTCTTTTGTTTTTGTTTGACTGATTCTTGCTCTCTCATAGAGTCATTAGCTTCCATTTGCTCAATTCTAATTTTTAACAAATTGTTTTCTTCTATTAGATTTTGTACCTCCTTCCCCATTTGGCCAATTGTATTTTTTAGGGACTTGTTTTCTTCAGTGTACTTTTTTTCCAGTTGACTAATTGTATTTTTTAAGGACTTGTTTTCTACAGTTAATTTTTGTCCTTCCTTTTCCAAGCTATTGACTTTCTCTTGAATACCTCTTGTTTGTTGTCCCATTTTTTCTTCTACCTCTCTCATTTGATTTTTAAAATCCTTCTTGAGCTCTTCCAAGAAGGCTTTTTGGGTTTCAGACCAGTTCATATTCCCTTTTGAGGTTCCAGATGTGGGTTTATTGGTAATGTTGTCCTCTTCAGAATTTCTGCCTACTCTTCCCATAATAAGAATCTATTTTACGTTCCTTTATGCCATGGTGTTTCCTTATTTCCTGGCCTTTAAAGAGATTGGGTTCTCCTGCTGTGGGGCAGAGGGCACTGACCCAAACTTCTTGTGTTGGGAGCCTAGGACCTGGTCGATGGCTTTGTGTGCTGGGACCTCCAGTGCTGGCAGCTTACCTGGTGTTGGGCTGGAATCAGCAACACTGGAACTCTAGGGTTAGGATTGGGTAGTGTGGCTCTTGGAGATGTCCTGCTCACCTGGGCCCTTCTGTCCTTTTGCTTTCTTCAGCTCCTTTCAGATGGATGTTGTAGGGTCTTTATCCACCTGGTATCCCTTGGAGCGCTGTTTCCCTTAGTTTTGCTGAGGCACTGGGAGAGCTGGTTGCTGTAGAATGCTGAGGCACCTGGTAGTTTTCTGAGCTGGTTTCCACTGGTTCCCCCACCCTCAGTGAGGCACTTGGGGATCCAGGTGTTGGTGTTTGCCTGCTCTACCACCTGGGCTTCAGGATCTCCTCTTGGTATGCTGAGGTGGGGCTTTCCACTAGCTTGCTGGGATGCCTCCTGGTCTGTACTGTTCCCTTTCCCCCAAGGTAAGACGGGCCTTTCCAGTTAATTCCTCAAGCTACCTGGGCTACTGGACTGCTGCACCCCATCTTTCTTTTGGTTCAGCTGTTCCAGGGTTTTTCCTGGGGTGATACTTTCTCGGCTTTCAGGGGTTAATAAGGGAGGGTAAGAGAGACTCACCTCTTACTCTGCCATCTTGGCTCCCTGGAAGTGGAAGTCTGGAATGGATCTTTAGACTATGCCTTTTTATCACATGTTATTTTGCTACTATCTTTGGCATATGTACAAGTTCTCCCATGTTTTGAGAAAAAAAATGAATACTCTTGAGAGAGAAAAGAAGATAGGAATATTTACTGGTGATAAAACATTGCTTTCATGAAATACCTTGATTTTCAAGTGTAAGTATATATCAGCATTTAATGTTATTATATATCCCTGTATTGATTAGGTACCAGTTGTTTTTATAGTAATAAAAATGAAAGACATAACTTAATGGATAGAAAAAGAATGTGACTTTGTTGATTATACACAGATGGGTGGCAAAAGAATATTGTGCTTTAAAGTTGACTAAATGTTTCCTCTGAAGTCTGTTTCACACTAATTAGCTTAAACCATTTCTTCATATACTGTAAAGGTAAATTTGAGCCTAGCCTTTGTCTGAATTCAGTTTCCAAATTAGTATTCTCAAATTTCTGAGCTTACCAGTCTAACAAAACAAAATAAAGTATGTGTCCCTTCATCCTCCTGCATTAGGTTAGGGAATAGCATAAAAGTGTACTTCGGTACCAGAAATCATTATTTTTATGGGATAAATGTGGTATAATGAAAATTCCTTAGTGGTTTTCTTTTTTATTAGTAGATTTGGAAGCTTTCATACCTTGGTGATGATTAAAAGATTATTTACAATGTGATGGAATAAAGCTTCTCCCCACTGCTTTCAAAACCCTTTATAGTATAGTAGATGTAATACAAATATCATTAATTTAAATTACTTTTTTTTTGTCAGTGCCTCATTAAGAGTTTCTGTGCTCATAATGGACTTTTTAAAAAACATAGAAAACTTGGTAAATATACTGAAAATATTGCTATATACATTTGAAGTCATAAAGATTATTTCCATAACAGCCTGTTTGCTTTTAAAGACAGTGTATACAGGAATTGATCATCATTGGAAAAAAGATATTTTTGCTACATGTGGGCAGCAGGTGGATATCTGGGATGAACAAAGAACCAGTCCTATTTGTTCAATGACTTGGGGCCTTGACAGTATAAGCAGTGTTAAATTTAATCCAATTGAGGTAATGTTCTTTTTAATTTTATACTCCAAATTGTCTGTTTTCAAATATAGCTTATTACTTTAAGCTGTTCCGAGGAGACGTTTTCGTAAAGTTTTGATGTCACTATTATCTGAATCTTAATATTCTTCAATATCTAATCCAAAATTGTTTTTTCATCTTTGAACGATAATATATGCCTTACCTACCTCGAGTTGTTATGAGAATAATGTATGTGCTAACTTTTCAAAATGAACTAATATAAAAATTTAAGTGACTGTTATTACTACTATAATAAACACTAATAAATGTCTGTTTCCCCATGTCAAAGGAATAGACATATATACAAACATATATGCGTGTGTGTGTGTGTGTTGTTTTTTTTTTTTTCCCTTCACCCTGGTAAATTTGTTAGGCAGATCCATTGGCCAGTTCTAAAGCAGCAGTTACTAATTATGAGCTTGAGAACCTATTTTTCAAGACTTAGCATTTGTCAATAAAATTCCTTTTTATTCAGTGGTGTATTTATTAAACATTAAAAATTAGCATTGAAAGCAAATGGTGTGCATTTTTTTTTCCATCTTTCATTAACAGATTGTTAACATGAAGGTTCTTTGGTTTCTTCAGTGTTTTTTTTTTCTTCCGTCAGTGTAGACTGCAGCCTTTCCCAGCCTTTTCACCTTGAGTGATTCTTCTTGTACATTATTGTCTGTGTATCTTAAGTTTAGCAAACTGGGAAAATAATGTTTCTATATTAAAAAGTTCTGGAGTTTATGTTAGGCATTAGGCCTTGTGTAAGTTGACGATAGTAGACAGAAGTCAAGAGTTATGAGCAACAAAAGGAAGAAAGAACAGGACCAGGAAATGTTGGCATTAAGAGAGTGTTAGATTTATTTTCATCCTCATGGAGTGAGCATTACAAAGAATACACTGAAATGTATGGTGCTTATTATCTAGAAGGATGTACAAGATGTCCCAAAAGTCCTAGTTAGTGTAGTCTTAAGCTTCAATAGCTTAATTATCAAAGTTTAAAATTGCACTAAAACTTTTGGGACACTCTGTGAGCACCCCTTTATGCAAATAACTGGTAATAGTAAAAAATTAAATATAAGTAGATTTTAGAATTATCTAATTTGCAGTGTTTGCCACCAAACTAATTTTGAACATGTTACTGTTACCTTTATTTTTAGACTAATATATTGGGAAGTTGTGCTTCTGACAGAAATATAGTGCTGTATGACATGAGGCAAGCCACTCCTTTGAAGAAGGTGAGTTTTTATTTTCTCTCCTCCTTTGCATTTGTTAATGTGTTTCTCTATTTAGGTCACAATGATAAAAAAGCAGGTTTTTTTCTTCAGAATTTTGAGTTTAAATAGTTCTAAAGAAAGAAAATTTGTCAGAACTGTATGCACTTACTTTGCACCACATCTAAAGCATTTGTAATCGATAAAAAACATATATTTGAAGGTCATACCAAACCTGCATTTTGGCATGTGCTAGGGGAGAACAATGGTAGAGTGGAAAGAGTGTTGACCTGCTTAAGTACTTTATTCGTCTGGAACGCATACATGGTATTATAGATTTATTCTTGGTGCTCTAACCAATTCCTTTAAGATTCCTCATATTGTTTATTAAGTGCAAGATAAATGGATTTCCAGTTAAGTTGGAATGTGGTTATTGGGCAGCTAGGTGGGGTGCAGTGGATAGAGTCCTGAATGTGGAGTCAGGAAGACTCATCTTTGTGAGTTCAAATGTGGCCTCAGACATTTACTAACTCTGTGACCCTGGGCAAGTCACTTCACCCTGTTTGCCTTAGTGTCTTCATCTGTAATATGAGCTAGAGAAGGAAATGGCAAACCACTCCAGTATCTTTGCCAAGAAAACCCCAGATGGGGTCACAGAGTGTCAAACACAACTGAAACGACTGAACAGCAGCAAGATGGATCAGGCAGTTCTTTTTTTCGTATTAGATCCTTTAAAAATAGTTTTAGTTTTTGTTAGCATTTAAAATACACATCTTAATATTTTAAAACCTGATTTGATACCTGATTTTTATCAGTAACAGAAAACTCTGAAGTATAAAAATGCTTCATAGTTTTTATCGTTGGGTATTGTTTGATTTTTGAGGAGCTAAATTAGGCAAGCCTTGACCTGGCTTGGGAGGTACGTTGTGGTGTTTTTTGGTTTTGGTGTTAAGATGTTCAGTGTTTACAGTAGTTGAAAGTTTGCAGAGACCCTGGGTACCATGGAGAAATTAGCAGCTGTCTCTTTCATACCCTCAAGCATTGTTTAGCCTAACTTTAGAGCCACCTTAGAAAATTACAGGGCCTAGGTTGAGTTGGGGTACCTGAGACTTCTGATAAACTCCAGTGTACCTTAGCCCCATTCCAAATGCTCAGGTCTTACTTTGAGGTTTTTGGAGTGAATATATTTTAGCCGTCCCTGCCAGCATAGGATCATTGACTTAGAAATGGAAGGGACCACAGAGGACATCTAATTCAGTCTCCTCATTTAACAGATAAAGAAATAAGCCCATAGAGGTTAAGTGATTTGCCCAAGGTCAAGCAGCTGGTAAGTGGTAAGGCTGGGATTCAGACTGGTGTCTCATGACTTCAAGTTCAATAGAAAAGTTCAGTGTTTTTTCTTCTGTATCAAACTCCCTGCATGTTGGTAATAGCTTGATCCCATATAGAGAGCACAAGGTTATTTTGGTACCATGGGTATATGAATTAACTAGTAATAGAATTTAGGGAACTTTAATGTTTTTATTTTATGAAACTGCTAGGAGTCATATTTTCTGGTTATGGTTTGTGGTTTACAGAGAGTGACAAGTCATATAGTGTATGGTGATAACTTTGGACTGAATTGGATGTTTAATGCTATTGTATTCTTGATGGGTTTATTTATTTGCCCTGTTCAAAATCTCTCAGGGATTCCCATTGCTTACAGGATCAAATCCAAATTCTGTAGCTTAGCATTCAAGTGTTCTTTTCTATATTAGGTTGCCCCTTTCTCCAGTACTCCCCACCTCCTCCTCATCCTTGCAACTCAAACTCCTTTCAAGTCAAATCAGTAAGCATTTATTAAGCATCTACTTGTGTGTGAGATACTATGCCAGGTGCTGGGGATACAAAGAAAGGCAAATGCAATCCCTACTTTCAAGGGGTTCACAGTTTAATAATAGGGGAGGCAACATGCAAACAACTCTTTAGAAATAAGATATTTTCAAGATAAATTTGGGATAAATCGCAGAGGGAAGGCATTAACATTAAGGGGAGCTGCAAAACCCTTCTTATAGAAGGTAACATTTTAGCTGGGCCTTGAAGAAAGCCAGGGAGGCCAGAATGTGGAGACAAGAGAGAGAGAATTGGAGGCACGGGGGACAGCCCCTGAAAATGCCTGGAGTCAGGATGTGGAGTGTCTTGTCAAGGAACAGCAAGGAAGCCAGTGTCACTGGATCAAAGGACATATGAAGGTGAGTAAAGTGTAAGAAGACTGAAAAAGTAGGAGGCGGCCAGATTATGAAGGGCTTTAAAAGGAAAATAAGACTTTATATTTTATGTCAGAGGTGTTAAGGAGCCACTGTCGTTTATGAAATGAGGTTATGACGTGCTCTGACTTTCGCTTTTAGAAGCATCATTTTAATAGCTAAGTGGAGGATGGACTAGAGTAGGGAGAGACTTGACGCAGAGAGACCAACCAGAAAGTTTTTACACTAATCTAGGTGTAAGGTGAGGAAGGCTTGTAACAGGATGGTGGCAGTATCAAAAAGAAGGGGCAGTGTAATAGAGATGTCAGAAGGACATGGCAATAGATTGGATATGGGGGGTAAAAAGAGAGTGAGGCTTAGAGGAGGAGGATATTTAGGTTGTGAGGCTGGAGACTAGAGGATAGAGTGGTGGTACCCTCAATAGAAATAAGGAAGTTAGAAAGAGGAGAGGGCTTGAAAGGGACAAAGGTAATGAGTTCAGTTTTGGGCATGTTGAGTTTAGGACATCTGAATTATTTAAAAGCCAGTTAGAGATGGGAGACTGGAAGTCAGGAGAAAGGTCAAAGCTGCATAAGGTAGATCTGAGAATCATTTGCAGAGAGATAATGGAATCCTTGGGAACCAAATGAAGTCGTAAAGAGGGAAAAAACAAAAGAGGGCCCAGGACAAAGTCTAGTTAATGGGACACCCAAAGTTAATGAGTGTGACCTGGGTAAAGATTAAACAGACCTTAGAAAAGGCAGTCAGACAGGTCTGAGGAAGACTGAGAGAGAGCAGTGTTACAAACACCTAGAGAGAGGAGATTATCAAGGAGAATAGTGTTTCAAGATTAGTGATTTAAAGTGTCATAGGCTGCATTTCGGTCAAGGAGGAAGAGGATTAAGAAAAGGTCATCCAGGTAATTAAGGGATCATTGGTGACTAATGTGGAAATATGTTTTGTGTGATTTCACATATATTGATATCATATTAACTTGGCTTTTCAATGGGCAGGGGAGGGGATGGAGAGAGGGAGAGAATTTGGAACTCAAAAAAAAATTTTTTAAGTTTAAAATAAATAAATTTAAGGAAAAAAGAGATAATTGATAACTTTGGAGAAAGCAGTTTCAATTGAATAATGAAGTCAGAAGCCAGACTGTAAAGAGCTAAAAAGAGAATAAGAAGAAAAGAAGTGGAGGTGTTGATTATAAATGGCCTTCTCAAGTGATTTAGCCATGAGAGAGAGGCAAGACGTGGAATGAGAGCTAATGGGAATGGATAGATCAAGTGAGGGGTTTTTGAAGATAGAGAAGACATAACATTTTTAGCTAGTAGGGGAAAGAGCCAGTAGACAGAGATTGAATATTAGTGTGACACTGGGAATGGTAGAGTGATTGATAGTCACCATGAAAATGAAGAAGACGGTTTGTGGTTGCAAAGGAGGTGGAATGATTATGATGTAAGGTAGGTTGTATAAGAATTATTATCTTTTTTTTTGGTGAGAAAATAGCCCCTTAGAAATTGTGTGCTTTGCTTATGATCACACGCAGCTATCAAGGTCTCCTGGTTCCAAATCTATAGTTCTATTCACTGTTTTAGTCAATCATCAAGTATTGATTAATTGCTTACTATGCATAACATGCTCTTTACTAGGCACTGGGGATACAAGCACAAAGAATGAAACAGTTTCATTCTGCCTAGATCCATAATGACCCTTTAAGAGAAGCTAGAAATGTTTAGTTTGTGTTCCTAAACTCTCAAAATGAATATTATGGAAGGCAGTCTTAAATTTCCTTTTCAGAATCTCTCTTTCTTTCCCTCTACCCCTTTAAATAAGATACTGCCACTTTAAATTGATTAAAACAGGGCAGTTTCCATCCATATTTAATACCTTATGGAATCATGGGTCTGAGTTCACCTAGAGGTGACATAGTCACATTCGTAGTTTCCAGGCAAATAGAGGGCAGAGAGATCTGCACTTGAGGCTTCCTCTCTGAGGAATTAATTTAATCTCATTTTGGGAAATAACGGTTTGGAAGGAAGGTAAATAGAATGTGTTCTTAATAAGTCTTGCCTTGGCCCAGATTCTCTTTGCTAGCTCATTGTGCTAGCGTGAATTTTTCGGAGTATGCCCAATACCCATTCTGTCATATCCAGAGCTTTGTAATATGTTCCTAAGCTTTGAGTAACCCCGCAGCATGGTGAAGCACAATGTTCAAAGGATAAGTCAAATGCACTAATGGATACAAAGAGAAAGATACCCAACAATTTATTTCTACAGGCATATTTCTCCTTTACAACAAAGTCCTATATCTCTCCTTTCCTTTTTCCAAGTATTGTAAGCACAATCTTGTGAGCATTTGCTTTTATTTTTAGTGTGGACAGGGGTCCTTTGTATTCTTTTGGCTTCTTGGCTGTACCTATTTCTTTTCCTGCCCGTACAGCTATAGGACACCTCAGTTATCTAAAAGCCAGTTGGAGATGGGAGACTGAAGTCAGGAGAAAGGTCAAGGCTGTTCCCCTTTCTCTGTTCTTCAGAGACAGAATAAAGGACTAGTTGGACCTTCTCCCTAACTCAGTATTTATGCTTTTAAAGCACAAGTCCTGAGGCAAAATCAACAACCTGACAGAGTTTTGAATCGGCAATGTGTTGATTTTAGAAATAATTATTTGTGGGGCAGCTAGGTGGCACAGTGGATGGAGCACCGGCCCTGGATTCAGGAGGACCTGAGTTCAAATTTGACCTCAGACACAAAACACTCACTAGCTATGTGACCCTGGGCAAGTCACTTAAAAAAATAGAAATAATTACTTGCTGTTCATGTTAACAGGGTAGTGTGTTTGTTTCCTTCTTAGGTCATCTTGGATATGAGGACAAATACGCTTTGTTGGAACCCAATGGAAGCTTTTATTTTCACTGCAGCAAATGAAGATTATAAGTGAGTTGCTCTTTTTTCTTAAGTATTATTCCCATCAGTTGATTATTCTTAAATGCTATCATAGTATAGTTATTCTGCTTAATTTTTTTAAAAAAGTTTTAAATTAAAAAATTTTTTTAAATTAAAATTTTCTTAAATTGTTAATTGAAGGTATTTTTTAATAATTGTTATTGCTACTTTTGTTTCTCATATTGTCACAGTTTCTCCCAACATCTCTCCCTCTTCCTCCTTCCAGATGATCTGTATTACAAAAAAAATTTTTAAGGAAAAAAAAAAGGAAGAACAAGCATCACCAAAAGCTGTCAATACATTTTTAAAAATCTAAAATATAGTCAGTGCTTTTAACTATGGCCCTCTCACTTCTATAGAGGAAGGGAGTGAAAGGCCATTCTTCATCTTTGTAATTTTTCAACTTTCACTTTTGATTGTTTTGTGTTTTTTCTTTCCATTTACATTGCTTTCATTATGTATATTGTTTTCTTGGCTATGCTTCACTGTACATTAGATCGTGTAAATCTTTCCATACATCTCTGTATTCATTATATTCGTTATTTCTTAGAGCATGATAATATTCCATTATGTTCATGTACCACAAATTTATTTAGCCTTTTCCCAGTTGATGTTTGTTGATTGAAGGTATTAGGTTCTATAGACCCTTATACATAAACAAAGTGACCACCATTTAAGTTTTTAAAGAAATGTTTATAGTTATATCACTGAAATGGCTAAGCCCTAGTTCAATTGGAAGAACATATTAAATGCCCACTTCTTGTAAGTCATCTTATTAGGGACTGGTTGTATAAACATGAAAGGACATAGTTACTGCCTTCAAGGCACTTACCATCAGGTAGGGAATGAGATATACACAGATACTTATGATACAAGGTAAGGATATATGAAGTTCATAGGTTTGTCTTCTTTAACATATAGATAGATATTAGAGCTTGGGGGTGGGGGAAGGGGGAGATTCTCCCTAGCCAGGAAGATAAATGAATGAAAAAGCATTTGTTGAGCACTTACTATGTGCTAAGCACTTTGTTAAGGACTGGGGACAAATATGAAAGCAAAACCAGTCCTACCTTAGAAGAGCTTAGAGTCTCATAGTGATAACACATATCAGGTTGGTGACTTGGGAGGGGGCATTTTGTATCTGAAAAAAATAGCAGATTTACTTTGATCATAGTTACATAAATTGATGGAGAGAGGAGTGAGGTTTGCAGGAGGTGAAGTAAAAGTGGGGCTTCTTAAATTTTTTACACTCACTGTAGGGTTGCAGTTGTATGGCCAGAGGGCCTGTGTAGTACAAAGTACTCATGCTTTGTATTCAGAACCAAGGCTACAGTGAAGTTGCTCAGTGCAAGCAAAACATCTTGGATTCATTATGCATTTGATTTTAAATTAATTTTTGGTCCTTGTGCATTTAGAAACCTTTTACTGTTGCCAAATTTTTTGTGACCCCATAGGGGTCGAGGACACACAGTTTAAGAAGCACTGAATAGCTGTGGGTTTCCAGAGATAGTGGTCTGGAACAGGCAATCACCAGTCAGAGAATGGGGCATCAGGAAATTCCTCCTAGACAAGGTCTCTGTTGTGGGCAGCAAGGTAAAGAGGCTTTTGTTGGAGAAAAGGGAGACCAGAAAGATCAGAATAAGGTCTAATAGAGATGACATGTAAGTTGGATTTTGTTGGAAGTATGTACGGTAAAGAAGTAGAGAACAATACATTCCAGATGGTGAAGACGGAGGCGATATCATGGACAGTTGTATGGAGTCAGGATAGAATTAGGGATCAATTAGTAGTCCAGTTTGGCTGGATCTGAGGAAAAAAAGCTTATTAGAAAAGCAGTTTCTAAAATTGATTGTTGTGAAGTTTCAATGTAGACTAATTATTAGCATAGAGTTAAAGAACTATGGCATTACGATTAAGTTGTGTTGAAAAGAGACTTCTCAGTATAGTTAAGTGTGGAAGGGCTGGTGGAAATTTGGTAAGAAGATAGAAAATTGTAGATTGTGCAATGGTAATTGCACAAAGAATATTAGCTTTACAGATGCAATTTTTATGCAACCATGTTGGCTTTAAGTATTTTAAATAATGTGTTTATTGAATTGTAAATGCCATATGTTGGGTTTTCAATATTTTCCAAGTACTTTCACATGTATAATTTCTTTTTATCTTAAAGAACTCCTTATAAAGTAGATAAAGGAAGTATTGTCTTCCCTATTTTATAGATGAGGAAAGAATAAATGGCTTGTCTAAGGTCCTACTAGATTACAAGTTCTTTCTAAGTGTGGACCATGTCTTACCTACAGTTGTATCCGACAGTGTCTAATACATTTTAATGAATGAGTGAAAGCTACATACTAGGTTGGAGGGCGTCCTTTCAGCACTTTGTTTTGTCCATTAGACATTTGCAGTCCTAAAAGTTTTGCATCTTTTAATTTGAGAGATTTTGTAATTAGATGGAAGTAACATATGTGTTCTTCTGAAGCATGAGAGAGATTTAGTCAGGGTTCTAACTAGCTAAGTATTACAAGTTTGTTAGAATGTTTTGAATATCTTCTGAGTTCCAGCCAAACTGAACAATTTCAGAGTGAGTAAGGCTAACTCAACAGTACTAAACCGGATTCATTAAGCAATTGTAGCCTGAATTGCTTCTTGAAAGTAAGCACCATCCATCCCATCAAAGGCAGTAAAAGAATTAATTGTTGGCCAAGTTTCTTAAACCTTACCATGGAGTGTTACTGATCTGTTCCTTTGGCAAGAATCTTTGTTTTTCAGAGCACCACATTTATTTTCCTTGTCTGGGGGTAACACTTGTAAGCATTTATTAAGCTGTTTCTGTGTGCCAGGCACTTTCCTGATTACTGGAGATATAAAGAAGGTAAAAAACACCGTCCTCAAGGTGCTTGGAGGAAGCAGCATACAAATAACCACGTACATACAAGAGATATAGTGTGTAAATGGAAGATATCAGAAGGAGGGCAATGGAAGTGGAACACTGGGGACTGGGAAAGGCCTTTGGAAGGAGGAGTGATTTGATCTGAATCTTGAAGGAAGCCAGAGGTAGAGGTGAGAAGGGAGAGTGTTCAGGCATGGAGGCCATCCAATGAAAAGGTACATAGTTAAGAGGTGGAATATCATGTATAAAAACCAACCAAAAAAAAAAACCCAGTGTCTGGTTTGTAGAGTATGTAGAAGAGGGTAAAGTATGAAGTATGAGGAGACTTGAAAGGGTAGGAAGGGGCCAGATTGTGAAGGGCTTTAAACGCCAAACAAGATTTTATATTTTATCCTAGAGATAATAGGGAGCCGCTAGAATTTATTGAGTAGGGGGATGACACAATCAGACCTGTGCTTTAAGAAAATCACTTGTGGGATATGAATAGGAAGTTTTCAAATAAAGAAATTAAAGCTATCTATAGTCATGAAAAAATACTCTAAATCACTATTGATTAGAAAAATGCAAGTTAAAACAATTGTGAGGTACCACCTCACACCTATCAGATTAGCTAGTATGACAAAAAGGGAACATGGATGTTGGAGATGTGGAAAAATTGGAGCACTGATGCATTGTTGGTGGAGCTGTGAACTGATCTAACCATTCCGGAGAACAATTTGGAACTATGCCCAAAGGGCTATAAAACCCTGCATACCCTTTGATCCAGTAATACCACTGCTAGGGCTGTATACCAGAGAGATCATAAAAAAGGGAAAAGGACCCATATGTACAAAAATATTTATTGCAGCTCTTTTCGTGGTGGCAGAGAATTGGAAATTGAGGGGATGCCCATCAATTGGGCAAAGGCTGAACAAGTTGTAGTATATAAATGTAATGGAATACTATTGTGCTATAAGAAATAATGAGCGGGCAGATTTCAGAAAAACCTAGAAAGACTTACATGAACCGATGCTATGTGAAATAAGCAGAACCAGGAGAACATTGTATACAGTAACAGCAACATTGTGCAGTGATCAACTTTGATAGATTTGGCTCTTCTGAGCAATACAGTGAGTGCTCCAAGACAATCCCCAAAATATTCATGATGGAAAATACTATCCACATCCAGAGAACTATAGTGTCTGAATGCAGATCAGAGTGTACTGTTTTCACCTTTTTTGTTTTTTTCTTTCTCTTGGTTTTTCCCTTATGTTCTGATTCTTCTTTCACAGCATGACCAGTGTGGAAATATGTTTAATATGATTGTGCACATATATCCTATATCAGATTGCGTGCTGTCTTGGGGAGGGAAGGGAGAAAAAAATTTTGAACTCAAAGTCTTATAAAAGTAAATGTTGAAAACTTTCTTTATGTGTAAATTGGAAAAAATAAAATACTATTAGGTATTTTAAATACTTAAAGAAAATTACTTTAATTTGAATATTATTAAGTATTATCATTAAATATTATTAACTTCTCAGTATTAAAATAGTTTTCTGGAAAAACTGTATAGATTTTATTTTGCTAGTGACATCTGAGCTGTTTTATACAAAATGAATTCTCTAGTTTTGAAAAAAATTTATTGTTATTTTTTCCCAGACCAGAGCAGGGGTATTTTAACCCAAGTTTTAGAGGCAACTCTGAATGATAAAGATTATTTAAGAGAATAGGACAGAGGAATTTGATAGTCATAGGATGGGGCCAATTGCCTGTGATTCTTAACCCCTAGAGGTCTTGTGAGATAATGGATGTAAAGTGCTCTACAGATCTATCTATCCATCCATCCATCCATCCATCCATCCACCAACGCACACACACATACACATATATACATGTATAGTGCTCCAGTTTTCTTACATCTTCTCCAACATTTATCATTTTCCCTTTTTGTTGTGTTAGCTAATCTGATAGGTGTGAGGAGGTACCTCACGTTGTTTTATTTTGCATTTCTCTAATTGTGGTGATGATGAAGCATGGTGTAGTCTTTAAAATACCAAAGAAGAAAGGAGATAATTTTGTGCGTCTAAATTAGTAAGAAAACAAACCAAAAAACCTGGTGATCTTGTTTGTCTCCAGCATATTAAGCAGGCTCTAATCTCTAATGCCTCTGAGGCTCTAATCTCTAATGCCTCTGAGGCCCCAGCAAAATAGGCCCTTTCTTTTTCCAGCTTCTGGGGTCTCTAGATCTCTAGTTCCCCTGACTCCTAGAATTTTGAGCTCCTTGTAAGTAGGGATTGGTTCATTGGTACTTAGGTATCTGACTCCAGGGGTTTGGTGCTACTGGTGGTTGTGATGTCTCAGTGAATATTTTGTGTGAAAAAGTTCTGGAAGTTTTAGTGGACTCCATATTCAATATGAATTAGTGTGATATAGCAGACCAAAGAGTTGCCCTATCCTAGGTTACATTGAGAGAAGTGATAGTCCTTCTATACTCTGTCCTAGTCATACAATATTATGTTCAGTTCTGGGTGACACGTGTTAAGGTCATGCATAAATTAGAGAGAGGGTCTAGAGGAGGGCTTTGAGTTCATGCTGTATAACAATATGTTGAGGGAATTGGACACTGAGCTTAAATAAGACTTTAGCCATCATAGACGTGATAGCTCTCTTCAAGTATTTGAAGGACTTTCATATAAAGGAGATATTGTAGTTGAGCTTGGCCCTAGAGGACAGAACCAGAAGCAGTGGGTAGATGTTCCAAAGAAGCAAATTTAGGCTTCTTATTAAAACTCTCCTTAAGTTAGGAGTGTGTTCATTTTTACTAGAGGTTTTTGAGTAGAAATTGGAGGAAGAACCATTTATATTGGTGATAGAGAAGGTATTCTTGGTCAGTGTGGGTTGCACTAGAAAGGCCCTGAAGTCACTTCCAACTCTTAGAGATTCTATGAAGATAAACTTTTTTTTTAACAATATTGGTAGGTGAATATTTTCTAATTAGTGATGTAAATTTTGGAAAAACAATACTTTTTCCCCTTTCTCTCCCTATTACCTCCCCCTCCGCATACATCTGTTTTTTAAAAAACCCAACAGATTAATGACACATGTAGGATATAAGTAATGCTGGTTAAATAATGACAAGAGGTAGTATATGTATATTTTTTTAGAAATTCCTTAATGCCACATGGTTTTATTTCTGGAAACCTTGTATAAAATTTATTTGAATCTTTTGCAGCTTATACACATTTGATATGCGTTCCCTTGATGAACCTGTAAAGGTACATGTGGATCATGTATCTGCAGTCCTTGATGTGGACTACTCACCTACTGGGAAAGAATTTGTGTCTGCTAGTTTTGACAAATCCATTCGAATCTTCCCTATAGACAGAATTCATAGCAGGTAAGTGGCTGTCAATAAATTGCTTTTTCTTCTGTCAGGGAGGACCTTTATCATGTTTTTATTTCCATTAGTTATATTTAGCTCATGTTCAGAATATGATTATTATCATATACTTTCAGCTGTAAAAATACTGTCATATTTCTTTTTTCTGTTGCATGCACCAGCTCCAAAGGGGGCTCAAGGAATCTCTGCCAGACCAGTCTCTTTCATTAAGTCGAATATGTAATTTGGTGACATGAATATTTGGTTTGCTCTCCCAGAGAGATTTTTTTTTAACTCCAAATTGGTTTTAAGCAAAGTTCTTTCTTAACATTGTTGTAGTTTAAAAGCTACTTCTGACATGTATGGATAGGTATTTTATAATTGCTTTCATTGTTAACAGAACTCTAAATGGTCCTTTTTTACCTCAAAAAAGTTTTTTTTATAAAATATTTTGTTTATTTAGTAATAGTTAGCATGATATCTCAGATTCTAAAGCGTGGGAGACAGCTTAGTGACCAAATTTGGAGGAAATGGAAGTGGTTAACATCAAAAGAATTGAAACATTGTACTCCTCCTGTAGTTTTCATTTGATTTTGCTGGGAGGGATTGAAGAAAAAAAAACTTTCTTAAGAGAATACATTTTTCAGACCTCTTTTAGAGCTATAGAGGATTTAAAGAGGTTATTTGGCAGGAATTTGTTCCTACCCGCCTCCTCAGTTTTAGAGACCTTTAAGTTTAGGTGCTGATTTGGTGTCTTCTTTGGTTTACTCACTTCTCCAGCTTTAATTCCTGAATTGAAGCTTTGTGCCAGGATCAGCATCTGCACTTTTTTGGATGGAGTTGCCAGCCCTGTTGGTTCTCACCCTGGGTCCTATGCTAAGTTTCTTTTTCCTCATGCAGTTAGGTTCTCTTGGAGCTTTGAGCACAGAATCTTCAGAGCCCTTAATGGTGTTTCAGGACAGGGTGTTTGGGACCTCAGAGCCCTGTAATGTCCTTGTCCAAGTTGTACTTATATTGGTCACTGCTATTCCTTTCTTTATTGGAGCCCTCCCTTCTTGATGCTTCCTGACAAAAAACCGTGTAGGTTGAACTTGTCTTTGGCCCTTCTCTAGTCATACTGGGAGACTATGGTTTGCCAGGCTAGTGCTGACTTTGCTAGTGGTCTCCTTCCCTATTGCTGGGAGCTGTTGGCTGGCTATTTATGCAGTTCTGGGTTGAAAAAAGTCACTCTAATTTCTCATTGGTTTCCGTGATGATTATTTAGTCTGGTGTGACCTTCAGGTTTCTCTAGAGTAAGTGTTGAAGAGCTAGATAGTCTTCTATTCAGGCAGCCATCTTACTCATAGATCTTTGTTTGTGAATCCTTTGATTTTTATCCATTGTGGAATGATTCCTGGTCTTGAATATTTGTGTTAATTTCTTAAATATGTTAAATATCAAACATCAGAGACATTTTATACAAAGATGTTTTTTCCCCAGTCAGTAACTCTCCTTATCATAGCTCTGTGTGCAACTTCAGAAGCTTTTCAATTTGATATAGTAGAAATTTAAGAATCAAGCTTTCTTTTCTAAATCGTTTTTTCTGTGTTAGACCTAATTTTGTATCTTGTATACTGATGCTTTTGAAGTCCTCATGAAAATAACCTTAAATAGAGTAAATTCTTGTTGGCCTCAGTGGTAACAGATATTTCCTCATTGACTTTGTCCATCTTACATTTATCTGCTTGGACCCAAGTTTTACTTTTCCATAGCTTTCTACCGAGATGACATTAATACTTCTGGGTAGTGACTTTGGAGAAATCATTTCACTTTTCTGGGCCTCAGGTTTTGTGTGTGTGTGTGTGTGTGTGTGTGTGTGTGTGTGTGTGTGTGTGTGTTTGTATGTGTATATGTGTGTACATCTATATACAAATGCACATATATATGTGTGTATGTGTGTATATGTGTACACACGCACCTATGGGATGGGGTTTGAACTAAGTCAGTGGTGAAGAACCATAGAAGGCCTTGAACTTCCATAGGACAGAGTGAAAATTACATATACTGCATAAAAAAGTGATTGTTTTCCCCATAATGCATATATAAAAGCAAGCCAAAAGAGTTGCTTCCTTCTATGTTTTATTCCTTTAACAATCTTAATTGTTTGTTTCTGTTGCTTTTGTTCATCAAACCTTGGTGTTGTTTTTATATCCCATTTAGAACTGTGTAGGGGAAGGTTGTTTGAGCAACTATTCATGGAAAAAGCCATTTTTTAAGCTACCTTTTTTAATATAATATCTGAACAATTTTGCTAATCAGAGTACTATGTACTGTGATCAAAAGCAGGTATGCTAAAAGACCACAGATGTCATACCACTGAATCTCACAAGTCAGTTTCAACCCCCAAAAGTCTATTATAGTAGCTTTTAAAAAAAAAAGTAAATAAACTTTTCTTTAAAATGATCTTTAGAAAACATAAAATTTTTATTTAGAGGAACTAGATATTTAAGATGAACTGTGAGTAAATAAATGCTTTTAAATGCTACGTTGATTCTGTGTAAAAACAGCATTCTGTTTGGATTTCATTCAGAGTTTTACTAAGCAAACAGCTAGATCAGTAGTATTCTTTCAAGGTTTCAACCTGTAGATTTTGGTCTAAGAAAGACAAACAAGATTTAAGTTGTATCCATGTTTATTTCTCTCAAAGCGAGCAGCATGTATGCATGAGAGCCAGTCTAGAATTGGACTCCCTAATGGAGGCAGTATGGAACTGAGCTCATTTCGGGATTAGGGTGCACAGTTTATATCTTTTCAGTAAGGGCTGATGTCACCCCATCATCATTTCACCTCTGGACAGAGGAAATACCTCTATACCAGACCACTTCCAGCCATACCAAACTACTCCCAGCCTTGGACTATCTAGACAAAATAATCTCTCCACCCAAGTTTGAATAGAATACAATGAGTTTCCTTACCTTAGATTACTTGTGAGCTTGGGTGGGGGCAGAGCAGGGTAAGGAGAGTCAATGCAATCTCGTATGTCATATTATATATCACAGTATACTATATTATATCTCATTATTTATATTATATTATGTCCTTCTGAAGAAAAACAACTTTGGAAGAAGGGGTCTGGGGAAACCTCTGAATCTCATTTTTCACAAAGGCAATTGCTTCGTTTTGACTGTATGTAGAAAACCTGTTAAGTTTATTTAAGTTTTTTAATCCCTTTTTTAAGGATGCATTTGAATATTTTAATGAACTTTGCAATACTTTAAATCTTGTGTTCCTTGCTATATGTATGTAGTTTGTTGAATTAGATATTCAAGCATGAGAAACATGTTGATCAAGAATTTTGAAATTATGTATCATAAAGGAGTGGTTTAAGTTGGTTTATTTAGTAGTCAAAAAGTTGTATTTGACAGGCAAGAGCAATGTTCGAGTCCTTCTTCTTGGCACTTAGGGGCTTTGTGACCCTGAGCAAGTCACATGATCTCTTAGCACCCAGGCAATCTCCAAGTATGTAAATTACAGGCCAGCTGTTGACTTGCTTTCGGAGAGGAAATTTCCTCCTCTAGAGCTCCCTAAATTAAAGAAATCTAGACTATCACTGTTATATACAAGTAATTTATATTATTTTTAAAGACTGCTTAATTTCCTGCCATTTAAACTTCCCTCTGTCTTACTGCTGTTGGGGAAAAGTGCCCTAGTGCCTTTCTTGGAGGCAGTGAACCTTGAAAAAGCTGAAAAACAAGAATGGGACAGCTTGTCTTGGAATTCAGTGGCTATTTGTATCCAGGTGACGCTTCCTTAGAGCACTTCTGGTCTCTTTGTGGTATGGTAATTTCCTTGGATCTTTTATGTGAGTTTTGTACACTCAGAAGCCTGGAACTGATTTCATTGGAGCTGAAAAATAATTTACTTTTAGGTTATTTCATTTGAACTTCAGTAGACAAAGCTGTCCCCATTTCACAAATGAGGCAGCTGAAACTGAGAAGTGAAATGACTTGCCCATGTCAGTGCTAAACTTGAAGTTTGAACCTAGATCTTTCCTGGTGTCAAGTACTTTTTTTCCACTGTTCCTTCCTGCCTCTCTTGTTTTTTGAGATTGTAAAGTAACAATTGTGGTTATGTTTGGGAGGAGGCAGAAAGAAGATTTAGCTTGGATATGAATCTGCTATACTCTCAAAGGTTTCCTTTCCTGTGGATGATTTTGTTCAATGTATGTATTCCCTTTCCATTTTGTACTCTGAGTCTTAGATCATCTTCTCTTTGGATTTCTCCTTTCTTCTCTTTTACCTCTTCCCCTTTTTTAATTTTTTTGGATTTGTTTTAATTTTCCTCTTAATGCTGTTTATGACACTTATAATATAGTATTTTCTGTGGATTTTTTTAAGTTGTGTGTTTCACAACATTTCCAGATAGGTATGATATTTAACTTCATTTTCTGATTAATTCTTACCTCAATCTACTAGGTGCTGTTGTGACTCTCACCTTTTTTCCACACGTGTAAATCAGCAACACTTCAATTTTAAGCCAATTTTGATAAAATCAAATATTTCATAACACAAATTAGGAAACATTACCAAATTCAGGAAGCTATCTGAGACCACCCATTGCATTCCTTTTATTTTTTAACATAACAAAAAAAGATTGATAATATTTTTGTTCTTAGTAAGTATAATTCATTTTGTTTCTGTTCTGAATTCTCCATCTGTGTCATTTTACTTGTTTGACCTTGACTTGTTCTGCGAGCTTCATGTATGAGATTTAGAGTACTGTGATCTTGAATAATGCCTTGTATTCCTTAAAGGTTTAAAGAAACTATCTGATACTTTAAAAGTAGTACTAAGGTATTAAAGAAAAGATCCATAGAGTTCTAAAGGTTTTGATGAGGTTTTTTTTTTAATAGAGAAGTATATCACACAAAGAGAATGCAACATGTTATCTCTGTGAAATGGACATCCGACAGCAAATATATTTTGTGTGGATCTGATGAAATGAACATTCGACTCTGGAAAGCCAATGCTTCTGAAAAATTGGGTGTGGTAAGAGACCCCTTTCATTTTCCCATTGTCTTATTGATTTGATTTCTGTTTTACTAAGCATTTATTATTTTCTGACCAAAGAAACATTCAGATCAATTTAGTTTTTTAAGGTAATTATCATAGCTTTGGCATTGTAGAGTACAGCATTTTTATCATGATACTTAACTTATTGAGTGGTCGGTGTTAATGTTTAATCTCTAATTTTAAAAATCCGACTGCAGTGTTAAGCATTTTTGTCTATTTTAAATTATATTGGGCTCCCAATTTTTTTTCTTAGGAGCATTTTTCTGAAATTCATGTAAATTAATGGAGGAATGATTTTAGTTTCAAGAAATACAGTTTATAACAGTGTTCCTTCAGGAGCGCAAAGACAGTTGTACTTGTGATTTGAGGTGTAATTTATAAAGAATTTTGTAGGTTTTTTTTGGTTTTTGTGTTTTTTAGTAAAAGATGGGTCTGTCTTGGCTATCTATATAATAAAATAAACCTAACAACTACTCTTGTCATCATGATTTTTTTTAAGCTTACATCACGAGAAAAGGCAGCCTTAAATTATAACCAGAAGTTGAAGGAGAAGTTTAAATACCATCCTCAGATAAGTCGAATAGCTCGACATCGTCATTTACCTAAGACCATCTATAGCCAAATTAAGGAACAGCGCATCATGAAAGAAGCTCGTCAGAGGAAGTATGTTTGACATTGTGCTACTGGCATCCTTTCCCCTCCCTCACTAATGAAACAAAATGAGAAGGGAGTGGCATGTAAACAATGACATAATTATCTTTCAAGTGGTCAGTTTATGTGCTGTTACACATTAGGACTTCATTTGGTTCTGAAAGAAAGTAAAGGACCAGTTATTCTAAACTCATCTACTCTCCATTGACTGATAACACATGGAAACATTAGTGACCTTAGAGTTATGAAAAAATTCACAGTTGCTAAGAATACATGCTTGAGTTAGAAGTTGGCAAAGAAATTCTCAGAGTGAACTATGTCACAAAGAATATGCTACTTCTCCTCATGTTGTCTAAACTTCTACCCGCTACAGTTGGAAAATGATAAATCCTTTCTAATCTAATTAAATTTTTCTTAGTAAGAATGTTCAAAAGATTCTTACAGTTAAAAGAGAGGAAGGCTTTTTACCTAAAGATGCAGCCGTTTTTCCATATCCTTGTGGTATTTGTGCAGCTGTGTTCATTCCAGTTTTGGATCACCTGATCAGAGGGAGCCTTTTCCCTGGAAAATCCTTGTGTTTGTAATTCTTTCAGTTGCTAAAAGTGCAAGGTTCATATGGCATGCTATATCTTTTTAGACTGAGATACGTAAAAGAATCACATTAGTAGATTGTGTTGCTGGGTGGACTTGGGACTTTTTAAAGTACATAACATTTTCAGATTGGGGCATTTCTATTTATAAATAATGAGTCCTAATATTTAGCAGAGTAGGATATTAAAATGTTGATTACTTTCTTTTATTCTGGCTTGTGATTTTTTTTTGGGTCAGGAGACTCCAGTGAAAGAATGTTTTTGAAAATTATATTTTGTTTAGATGGATTTACTTATAATCTCATGTACATTTTGTTTATTTTCTTTTTTCCTAGGGAAATGAATCGTATCAAACATAGCAAACCTGGATCTATACCATTTGTGCCCGAGAAGAAGAAGCACATAGTAGCTGTTGTGAAATAACATTTGAGAGGTCTGTTGATTTTTGGTATGTAATTATTATGTATAGTGTGATAGGTTCTAAAAATAATGTTACAGGCTCTGCTTAACAGCAGAAAAACCTTGATTACATGTAAGAGGGCTTCCCTTAGAGTTGTTTTTTAATCACCTTAATTTGGTGTGTGTTTATTTTGAGTAGCTCTAAAAATTCCCCTATAAGCAGCTTGCTTTACAACCAATATTTCATTCCATAGTCTCTATATTTGAATAACTAAAGGAATACAGTGTTTGCAAGGGAACTTTAGTGTCAGAGATAGAAAATATGAAAAATTGTTACTTTTCCCCCAATATTATATTAATCTATATATTTTACGTAGTGTATATGTCTTCTGAGTGTGGTTTAAACCAAACTTCTGTTATTTTTTATTTTGGTTTGACCAATAATTAATGATAATTCTTTTCATGAGACTAGTGCTTATAATACTAGTTTACAAGCTTTAGAATGTTTTTAAATACTTCTTTAGAACACTTGATGTTGCTATTTGACTTTTTGTAATCTTCAAGATTATTAACCTAATAGTGTTTTTAATTGATGATAAGTCAAGGTTAGCATTAAAGTGCTTGATTGATTTCAGGTAACTTATACCCATTGATGTCATCATGTCCTTTTTTTCCATCAGTTCCATTGCATTTTTTTACAATTTTAAGTTCTAGATTTTAGGACCTTGAAGAATGGGGAATATTTAAATTGCTGGAAAGGGAAAGAGAGGGTATTCAAGAAGGGAGCTATAACATATTAAAAATAAGAAGCACAGAGGAAGAAATTAACATAGTGTGTAAGGGGGACCTGGATTCAGGAAGACCTGGGTTCAAATCCAGCCTCAGATACTATATAACCCTATGCAAGTCACTTAACCTCTCTCTGCCTCTGTTATAAGAGTAATAGTAACACCTGCTTCCCAGGTTTGTGAGTATAAAACTAAATATTTTAAAAGTGCTTTGAAATTGCTATTGTTGTGGTTGTTGCTGCTACTATTATTAGCCAAACTAGAACTGAAGGCAAAAATTGAATAATTCTTACATATATTAGTGAATCTGTATTCTCAGTGATATGAGTATTCTCTTCCACATTGTACACTACAACCTATCTACTCTTCATCCTTTTGAATTCTTTTCCATTCCCTTTCATTGGCTTCCATAGGAAGTCTACTCAATATGCTGGCACCTTTTTCTATATCTTAGCTCTCTTAATTATTAACTTGGAGCCTATTTAACGTGTAAACTGGCTGTTACACCTCGTTTTTGCTGTATGACAGGTGCCCCTTTTGCTAATTATCCTTTTTTTTTTTTTAAGATTTTTAGATTTCTTAAATTTTTTTTGCCACTGGTAATATGTTGCAGCCTGAAGTTTTTTGCAACCATGCTATCAATAGAAGAATATTGGTGCTGTGAAAAGGGGGTTTTGTTTCAACAACCCAGGGCTTCTTCCTCAAAATGCTAGGCGTATTCCCCAAAGCATTTCAGTCCTTTTTCTTTTTCATCCTCAAATCTGGACACCATTCATTCTTGGAATTCTTTTGAAACAGCACCGACCTCATTGAGGTTTGGTGTGAGGATCAGATAAAGTAGTATTTGTAAAGTACTTGGCACAATGCCTGGCATATAGTAGGCACTATATAAATGCTTATGCCTTTCCCCTTCTTTGCCTCAGTGTCTCTCCAAAATATGTATACTAATGGATCAGTTCAGGACACTGTCCATCCTACCACACAAGTCTGGAAAATAGGTATTCTTCATATACTTGATTCTTCTGTGTTAGGCCAAACTCTTTTGAGCAGTAAGCGATTTCATTTAGTAAGCTGAGAAATGTTCCAGTGCTTGACGCATTCAGTGTAATGTCTGCAAACAAGAGTATCTGGAAAACCTCACTTGACATAGATTCCCAAAGTGGGTGATACTTACTGCCCCCGGGGACTTGGGGGGGTGAGGGTGACACTGGAACAATCCAGGGGGCCGCCATTTATTTGTTTATTTAGTTTTTGGAGTGGTGCAGATTGAAACAAAAAAAAATGGTTAAAAGGTTAAAGAAAGTAGATTTCTAGGGGGCTGCTGAGCAAATTTTTTTTAAAGGGGGGCGTAGGCCAAATAAGTTTGGGAACCTCTTCCATTTGTACTGCTCTGGACATTCTCTATTTCAGTGTCCAAGCTAGCATAGTCTCTTTGTTTTATGCCTTATGTGATATTAATGATCAGAGGATCGTAGAACAAAAATATTTCTGTTGTCACATCAGTCATTGAATTTTTTTAGGGTCTTAACAGTTGCACATGAGATAACTTGTTGGAGCAGAGCCTTTGAAATGACACTCAAATTCTTTAGTTTTATAGTCAAATAGTAAACCCAGTCTCATATTTATTTCTCTGAACCTTGCTTTCAGTTTTATGACCATGAAGAAATCTACTAGATAATATTGGGAAATGTGGAAAATAAGTTTGATAGGGTAGTGTCAAATTATTGAAGACCCTGAAAGCCAGGAATCCAAGTTTAATAATGGTAGGAAATGGAAGGCCACTGGTCAAATATGAACAAGAGAATAACAGATGAGAGCTGTGTTTGGCAACAGAATGGATAAGAAGGAAGAAGTGAGTTGGGAAGGTCAGTAAGAAGGGCTTTTAGAGTAAACTAACTGTAAGTCCATGAAGGACTGAATTAGGTTGGTTACAATAGGAACTTTGAAAAAAAAAATGAATAAAGCTGAGAAACTTGTGTTTATCAAAACTAACTCAAAGATTTACATCTTGGTTTATTGGGTATATAGATAGTGCCATTGAGAAGAGAGGCTGGCTTTGGTGGGAGAATGATGAATACTGTTCTAAATATTTGAGCCTGAGATTGACTGAAAGATATTCCACTATAAATTTTTAGTAGCTATGCGGAAATGTGGGAATGGAGTTTGGGTCAGGATAGGTCTAGCAAGGTAGATTTCAGGACATCAGCAGTTTAACTGAAATGGTTGAAATAATTGTAATCCTGTAGTCCTTCTACTCTATGCTACTTGTCCATTTATGACTAATTTAAAGAAGTTTTATAAAATTAACATTGACATTGGGTTTTTTTTCCTCCTTTATTTTAGAGAATCACATAATCTTGGAGCTGAAAGAGACTTTAACAATCATCGCACTCAGTGTCCTCATGTTATACATGGAGATGTTGAGACTTACAAAGGTGTGAAGTGACTTGCCCAGGTCATAAAGTGGCAGAACCCAGTTCTTTGGAATCCCATTCCACTGCTTTTTCTACTGTATCAAGCTGTCTCATTCTTACTTAGATTTGGAAAAGCACCTCTGTATTTAACGTCTTTTATATTTTTTTTGCATGTATTCCCAGAGCCGTCTTACTTAAAAGTTGTCTGAAGACAGAAAATGTCTTTTTGATAAACCTTTGTACATTCTTCTGTAAGTTCATAGATAGTACATACAAGCCTGTAAAGCTCAATAAATATTAGTACTGAAAAATGGTATAAAATATTCATTTTATGTACTACCTAAAAGGTAAAACAACCATTAACATAGTTCTTGACCATCATCATGTTAAGGCACTGGTTTATTGCTGATTTGCAAGAAAATGTCACCTACTGAGTCACTGGCATCACCACCTGCAGCAACCTGTGGTTTCCATAGTGATGTCTCACAATGAACTGTGCACAACAGAACCTGACTCATTAATTAAGGACATGAGCAATTTCCTGCAATTGAAAGCAATTCCTAATTTAGAATTGAGAGCACAACTTTAATCATTTTAAAATATAAACTTCACTGAACACAACCTGTTGAAATTTGGTGCAGGAAAAACACCTAACAAGCAAAGTTGTCAGGACAAAACTGAGAATGTAATGATCTAAACCAGACGTTTAAGTGGATGGAATATTGCTTAGGGTCTTCTAGTATCCCTGAGAGGGAAGAAGAACAATCCAGAATGCTGTTCAACATCCTCATTTTTTCCTGTTTTGATTAGCACACTGTTTTGGAGTGTAGCCACAAAGTGAAGTGTAACACCATCCAATCTCGAGTCTGTTTTGATCCTAATTCACTTTTATTTCTTGAACAGGATAAATGATACTCTATATTTTCCCTTATGTATTGCCATCTTTGGGATGTCACTCCTACATTTTTTGAGGTTGAGGTATGTGTGTGAGTGATAGGAATTAGACAATTTTTGTTATAATGAAATTTAGTGATTTACACTAAGGAGACAGTTAAAGGAGAAAATGGTTAGCCAGGCTCATCAGAAATCTTCATAAGGCTGTTAATAGTCTATTTTGTCTTGAGCACTGATTGAGAATTATGTTTCAGTCTGTGAGACATGAATGCTTAGTACCTTTAAGTGTTTTACATAGAAGTGGTATTTTATAAACATGTGAATGATAAGGTTTTTGCTTGTTCTTTTAGGAGACATGTATATGGTAAGGACCTGTGGTTTTTGTCAGTATGAGAATTCTCCCTGACACATCACAACTGTTCTATAATGTAATAGCATAATGATTCCTAGTCTTTTGGAGTTTAGACACTTTATCATTTGTTTTATTTTTAGGAAGCCATTGCTCCTGAAGATGCTGAGTATCATTAATTTTTTAAAATTACTTTAAGATATTTTTTGAGAATTTCCCAATATCAATCACTTGAGGTAGTTGAAGCCCCTTGATGTGAAAATCAAATCTAGGGATCATTCTAATAAATGAAAGCTGAAGATAAGGAAACAAAATGGTTCTAGGTGATTCCTTCTGTGTTGTACGGAATAATGTGAATCTGTAGCCATACCATGTGCCACCTCTAATAAAGAGAATGTTATATGGACTCATTTTGTTCAAGATTTTGTTAGAGCAAAAATAATACAAGAGGTAGATTTCTTCATGTTCACATTATGCATGTGTGGCACAATGTGAGATAAAGGGTTATTTAAAATAACCTCATGTATGCTAGAAAATGTAGAATATGAGACCTCTCTTCAGGCAGAGAAAGAGGAGGCTTTTTTAATGGGCTCACCTCTATTCCGGGAAAGAAGCAAGAGTATGATGTCAACATCTGGTGTAGGTTAGAGAGGGTTCCAAAACCTAGAAGAAACCCATAACATGGGACGTGAGACTCCTATCCCCAGAAGTGACCAGGAATAAACTTGTGCTAACTGCAGCCTGACTCAGCTCATCCTTCCCAGGTGAACAAGATCTTATCTGGGGATGGAGTGATTATTTTGATGCCTCAAAGTCATTCCCCAAAGGACTAAATGAGAATCACCTGTATTACCTTAGAATAGGTTTGGGATAGCATAATTTCAGTATCCTCTTCCACCCCCAATTAACATGCTTCCTGATTCCTGAAGTTTTCTAATTGGATGAGCTCATTTGTACAATTCAAGGTAAAAAGGCTTAAAATGCAGATTCTCCTTGAGGCAACACGTTGACTAAAAGTTTTCACACTATGATATATGCATCACTCAACATGCAAATGTAGACATTTCATCCTTATTTTGATGGGTAGAGTAATGACAACAGGAAGATAGTAGATGCCAGAAATAGCTGGTAATGTCTCTTCTCTGGAGTAAAAAGGCCAATGACAGTGAGGCTAAGGATGAATATGAAGCCCAGATTCACCCTTTTTACCTTTAACTGAGCAGGGATAATTTTGTCATGTTAACAGGTGCAAGAAAGTCTGTGCCGTGAGATTTTTTGTAAAGTACCTATGACTTCATTGATGAATTGTTTCCATTGATGAAACATTTCCCCAAAAGACTTGTTAACCAAAGCATCACTAAAATAGTTTACTCTTCCAATCCAATCCAGTAAGCATTTATTTGATGTCCACTAAGTGTGAGGAATTGTACCAGATATTGGAATGAAGGAATGTAGGATCAAATTTTAATTGTATCAACATATTTTTAAACTTCCAAGGTTTATTAAAAAATTCCTTTTGCTTTAAATGCATGTAAAAATCATGATACATAAAAAATATATCATTTTTTTAACCTCAAATGCTCAAAGTGAACAACTAAAATGTTTTTAAACCTTGCTTCAGTTCTGAAAGGAAATAAATGAGGAAGTTCCTTTGCAAAATATATGGTTAATTTAAATTCGTTCCATGTGGAATGTAAAACTAAAGAGTCTTTTGATTCTGAATAAAATAATATTTCTGTTTATCAGTTAGCCTTTAGATTTAGACTCATTCTTGATTTTTAAAAAGAAAACATTTCTGTACTGGAGGGGACAATATAGTGGAGTGAATCACTTTAAATTTCTCTCCTTGCCACCTCAGATCAGCCAAAAATGAACTAAATAACCTAACAAAGATGGCAACCACCAGAAGAGGAAAAGAAAAAGGAAAGCAGTCTCTTCGTGGTGATTGTTTACTACAGAAAAAAAGTAATTAGAATGAGATGGAGACTTATCTCCTAGCCTCAGCTCCTTAGTGGCTAATGCTTCAATGTAGGGCAAAGCTTTCCCTGAATACTAACTGATCCATGACTAGACCAGAGCCTGGAGCTTGGGATTTGAGAACCATCCCAGCATTAACCTGTCCCCAGGCTAAGTTTAAGCCCTATTCCATGAACTTCACTCAACTTCTCCAAACTGAATGGACCATCCTTGTGCACCTATAAGGATCCAACCAAGCTCCAAAGATCTGTGACAAAGGCAGCTTTACATGTCATAAGAGTCTGGTCCCTGCCCAGAACCATAGTGCATCAATCCTAGCACAAAAGTTAAGGAAACAGGAAAATAAAAATTAACAATGGTTGGCCTGATTAGATCCTGTCAACATAATCAGCCTCAGAAGGTGAAGACTAATTGCAGAAAGGGCATCACAGAAAAGCCAATAGACTAATAAAATTGTAAAAAATCAAACAAACATGAAAAGTAATTAGTATGTTGAAAACTACTATGAAGGAAGAAAATGAACTTAAAGACTCCTAGAAAAGAGGAATCTTTACAATAAGTTTAGAAGCCCTCAGAAATTACAGTGAGACAGCTGCAAGTAGCACTAGATTGGCTCAATTAGTGGAGATACGGAGGGAGAGAATTCCAAGCATAGGACACAGCCAGCGAAAATACCCAGAGTTGGGAGATGGAGTGTTTTTTGCAAGGAATGTTTGGAGCATTTGGAGAGTGTAAGGTAAAAAAAGACTCAAAAGTTTGGAGGGGGCCCTGTTATGAAGGGCTTTAAAAGCCAGACAGAAGGTTTTGTATTTGATTCTGGAGAAGATAAGAAGCCACTGGATTTTATTGAGTGTGAGGGAAGGGATGTTATTATGGTGAGGCCTGTACATTTGATAGCTGAGTGGAGGATGCACTGAGTAGGGAGAGAGATGAGGCAGATAGACCAACCAGCATACCATTGTAATAGTTCAGGTGTTAGGTGATGAAGACTTGTACCAAGGTGATTTAAGTCAGAGAAGAGAAGATGGCATATATAAGAGATGTCTTAAAGGTAGAATTGATAGGACTTGGCAATAGATTGGATGCAGCGATTGAGAGAAAGTGAAGCATTAAGGGTGACACCTCAGTTTCAAGCCTGGATGACCTGGAAGATAGTAGCACCCTCAACAGTAATAGGGAAATTAGGGAGAGTGAAAGATTGAGGGAAAAGATAATGAGTTCAATTTTGGACATGTGTTTTGATGTCTGCAGGACATTTAATGTGAAATGTCTAATTGATAGTTAGAGATGCAAGAGTAGAGGTCAGGAGTAAGGTTAGGGCTAGATAAATTAATATGAGACTCATCTACACAGGGATGATTATTGAATCCGTGGAAGCTGATAAGATCACCATGTGAACAAGTATAGAGGGAGAAGAAAAGAGCCAATGGTTCACTAATGTTCAGACTCCTTAAGAGTCTGGCCAATGTGGCGGATGTTCTAATAAACCTAGTCTTTGGCTGAAAAAAAAAAGGAAATAGAATTATTGATTGTAGTTGACCTTCTCAAGGAGTTTAGGCTCAGAAGGGAGGAGAGATGTAGGATGATAGCTAGTGGGAATGAATGGATCAAATGAGGATTTTTTTAAGGATGGATAGACATGATCATGTTTGTAGACAGTAAGGAAATAGCTAGTAGATAGGGAGACATTGACAGAGGAGGAAATCTGCTACAGAACAGGATAGAATGGTCTGACATGCATAGAAGGGTTTGCCTTAACAAGAAGGGCCACCTCTTCATGTGAGACAGGTAAAGGAGAAGGTAGTGGAAGAAGGTATAGGAGTGATATGAGATGGAGAGGATGAAAGAGAGACCTTAGTGAATAAGTTCACTCTTTTTTCAGTGACATATAAATCAAGATTCTCATTTGAGAGGATGTGGGGAGAGGGAGGCGCAAGAGATTTGAGGAAGGAAGTGGAGATTTGGAAAAGTCACTGTGGTGAATGTTATAGTGACTCTATTAGGGAAATTAAAAAGGATTGCCTTGCCACAATGAGGGCCCAGTTGAGATTATGTAAAATGAATTTGTTGTGGACCCAGTCAACGTGGTTTTATGATTTTCTCAAGCTTTTTTCATTAGCATGTCAATAGGAGCAAAGGCAGTGGATGGTGGGAGTACTCCAAGGCTTAAGCTTGACCCGACAAGGTCAAACATAGCCTAAGGTTCAAGGGAATCAAGAGCAGAGGATGGTGTAGAGTTGAATTGATTCACCCTGGGGCTCAAGATGAGTAAAGGGGGAAAGAGTGCTGTCAATGTCAGAGTGATGGCCCAGGAATGGACTGAAAGGCAAAGGGATTGGAGGTCACTGTGAAGACAATAGGGTTAGGGAAGGCTGAGGGAAATGTGGAATGCTAAAAGATTATGATCAATAAAGTAATTTCAAAGTTTTTGAAAATGGAAGTGAAACACTTGTGGGTGGAACAAGATGAAGGATATCACCTGTTTGTAGCTTAAGTGGAGTAGAAGAGTAGGTCATGGGAAATGAGTAAGTTGAGGGACTGGGAAGTGTTCTGAATATGCAAAGGAGATTAACTTACACACTAAAATAATATACTAGAAAGCCATGCCTATCAATGAAAAAAAAATGGACTCTGGTCAAAAGGGATTCAAATCATTCCTTTGAAAGAAACCATAGGTGAGCTGGTCTTTTTGACATATAAGCTCATCAATCAAAAGAAATAGGCATTAGGTAATTAAATAAAGTTGGAAATTTAAAAAAATATCTTGTGTAATGATATAAAGACTTTCATCTGGCCCCAAGACAAAGCTATGTGGTTTAAAAAATGTCTTTCCATGATTTAAGGAGCATTGAGTGAACTAAGTAAGAATAGTCATGAGCAAAAGAACGAGGAGTAAAGAATCTAAAGTGGGCAAAAAAAGTGAGAGAAAGAATAGAGTAAATAGTTATCGAACTAAATAAAACTACATTTCTTTGTTAGTAAATCAATATTGGGAAGTGGGTAAGGGAGGTACAGCATAGATTGCATCTTCTTAGGTGAGGAGAGGGAAGGGGAAATCAGGAAATATACTACTGCTTTTCTGGGGCTGATGAGGACAGAAGAAAGAGAAGAAAAAAGAGGAAGAGGGGTGATGCGTGTGTGTGTGTGTGTGTGTGTGTGTGTGTGTGTGTGTGTGTATTTTCATTATAGCACCCTGTTCTATAAGCTTTGAGAGAAGAGGAAATATTCATGGGGGCATAGGACACAGAGGTGGAAGCAGGAGTTTGATGTTACCAGTGGAGAGGAAACTAGAAGTATAGCATACTCTACTCACAGGTAAACAAGGAAGAGGGACATGGGAAAGATTTGCAGGCAAATAAGAGCTGGGCCAGCTAGGCAAAGGAGCAAAGCTTGAGTGCCAGAAGCCACATTTTGCATAAATGTCATAGA